AAAAATTCTTCATCTCTTTCCAGCCCAGGATACCTGGTTACATTACAATATTTCTGTGTTTTGCTGAAGTTTTAGAGCTGTGTTTTCCAACTTGGTGCTCTCCATCTGGGGAAGGCTGCCTTAGATCATATCCACTATGGGTGCAATTCTGAGAGCCAGTGTGGTGTAGTGGTTAAGAGCATGGGACTGGGACTCAGGCGATCTGGGTTCTAGTCCCCGCTCAGCCATGGAGCCAACTGGGTGACTTTGGGCCAGTCACAGACTCTCAGCCCAACCTACCTCAGGGTTGTTGTTGTGGGAATAAGATGGAGGAGGAGATATAAGCTGCCTTGAGCCCTTTGTAGGAAAAAGGCAGGATATAAATCGAAAAATAAATAATTCTGAAAAGAAATAGAAAAAGACATAGAAAAAGTCCTATAATTAACAGTATTCCCAAGCCAACATAAGATTGAACCCTAAAAGTCTCTACCCATTTAGTACTCAAAATAGCAACACTGAACATTCGGAAGAACAACACATTAAAAGAAAGGCAAACCATAAATGTTACATTGCAGTGCAGGCTTCAGGTATTAGCTGATGATTGAAATGAACAGATGTTAGACTCACATAAGACTCATGAACATTCTGCTCTGCTCCCATACATAAGTTCCCAGCTGTGGTTTGTGGTATATTTGCAGGTGGTCCATGAAACTCACTTTATTCCGGCTGCAAAACTAGACTTCTGGGCTTGGCATCTTTCCTTTTTTCCACCAGCAACATAGTTACAGAAGATGTAACCAACAGCACATCAGGTATTTTATAAATGTATTTATTATATGTACATAGTTACCACAGTGACTCTGGATTTTGGAAAGTAGTCTCACAAAATTTGTTCCATTATTTAGTGAAATTATCAGAGGAACCACCCGCTGTATGCATTCTTATATTTTATTATTTCAAATGCTATACAATACAATCTGGTGAAAGACAGATCGGTCAATGCCCTCTGAAATGGATGGAACCAAATTATGAGTGCAACCAAATTATGAGGAACTGCTTGCTTACTCAGCAGTGAATTTCATCAGGTTCATAAGACCACAAGAAAAAAAATCTGATCATATCACAGATTCTAACATCTTGTTTTCTACAACAGTTAACTAGATGGTTCTGTGAGCACCAAAACAAGGCATGAAGGCAATCACACTCCTCCGCTGTTGCTCCACAGAAACTGGTATTGAGTAGCATTCTGCCCCTGGCATAAGTAAGAATAAGAGTATTTTAATGGTTGAATGACAGTCTTAATTCTATTTTAATTCTAATTTTAGTAGGTATTATAATTGTTGAATTTTAGATTTTTAATTGTTGTCCAACCTGGTTATTGTATGAAGTCAACATGGTTAGTGTTCCTGCTGTTGGAAGGATGTTTTATTATTTGAATTTGTTCATATGTTTGATTTTTATGTTTTGTTTAATGGTTTTTAATTGTTCTAAACCATCCAGAGAGCCATGTGGCTATTGTGACAGCCTATAAAAATGTGAATAAAATAAATAAGAATGAGTCCTATTGGCCTCACAAGAAAACATGCACAGGACTGAGCTCCGCAATCCCACTGATTTCACTAGGATGCAGACACTAGATTCCCACCCCACCCTCCAGCATTTACACATTATTTTGTGCATTATCTAGATGGTGATGTTGAATTGCCATAAGTACATAGGAAGGGACATAGCTTCATTATATACCATCATACTATTGGTTCATCTAGCACCAGCCTTCCCAACCTATTATGGAGCACTCCAGATGTGTTGGATTACAGTTCCCAGCATTTTTTACCACTGGCAATGCTGGCTGGGTCTGATGGGACTTGAAGTCCAAGGCACCTAGATATTGTCAGCTTGGGAAGGCTGGAGTACATTGACTAACAATGGCTGTGCAGGGCTTCCAGCAGGGATCTTTTCCCTCTCCTCTTAGACTAGATGCAAGAATCTTTTGCATGAAAACCATCTAATCTACCACTGAACCATCAATCACTAACAGTAATGATGAGGATTTTGACTAATAACCCTGGCTGTGTGTGCATCTGCATGTTATTTTAAATACATCCCTATGTAATATTTAAGTGGATGTGAAGCCAGGAGCAAAGAACCCTTTAATTGTAACAGGTCATCCTCTGAATAAGAACTAACTGCAGATTCCCAAAGCACTCTGCCTTTTGTTCTTAGTGTGGTTGAAATGCTTGAGTATTTTGTAAGCACACTTGAATAAATCACCTTTACCTCTACTATCAAAACATTTCCTTTCAACAGTCTGGCACACTAGGGGGACTATTTCCCTTCAAAAGAGAGAAATGCTATTGATAAAAGTTGTCACAAGTTAAAGAAATTATTTTCTACAGTGCCATTAAAAGTCTTATGACCTAGTTCATGTTAGAGGATATTTATTACTTATACTGACAGCAGCTCAAGTAAGTTCTTGTTTGGGAATTCATGCTAACGCATTGCTATTTTATACAATGATGCCATCAGCACCAAAAAACTTTCATGGAAAACAGCTCTAATGGAAAACCCATATTTTAAAACTAATTACTAATCAGGATGAATAACTTTGTGTGGAAAAAGTCCTGCACAAGGAATATTAAAATGTATAGGCTTTTGTGAATTTCACAAGGTTTCTGAAATTGTGCATACCAAGGACTGAGCATCAACTTCTGTTCAGCCACCCAAACCTCAAGGTTTTGCTCCCTTCATCCAACAGAACTCCTGGCCTACACGAATCCTGACTCAACCACCTGCTCACAACTCTTTTTCTCTCCTGGCCTGCACTCTCAGTTACACATGAGGACATTAGACTCTGCATATTTAAGAAGTGACACTTAATGCTTTTATTAAATACTTAAAATAGTTCCTCTGCCAATTTCATTCTTGTCAAGGGATGCTTCCTCATTGGTATACAGTGATGCCTCATTCTTCAAACAAGTCTAATTTTGAATGATCCAGAGGTCGAATGTTAAAGTCGAGATACAATTGCTCCAAAGTTCAAATGATACTACTACGTTTGAACTGGACACAAAGTGAAAAAAAATGGTCACAGTGTAAATGCCATCTGTTGTGTGTCCAAGTCATCTCTCACTGTGAAACTTCTCATGTAATGCTTGCGCATTTTCAGTGTGTGCATTTTCATGCGATTTCAGTCCTTTTTTTCTGGTTATATATATATAAAACCAGTCCTCACTAAGGTATGTAAATGCACTAGCATAACATTACTAACACAAATCTGATGGTGCTTACTTCAAAGTTAATTCATTTTGGGAGGCCATATTTGCTGTTTAAGTTTATCAAACTGGGTATTGTTTAGGGTCCGGGAACAGATTAATTCACTTTCCATTATTTCTAATAGAGAAAACTGATTCAGACTTCAAACGATTCAGAGTTCAAATGGCCTCGAAGTATGAGGCACCACGGTACTGCTTTGTGCATATGCAAAGCTTTACACAGTGGGCTTGATTGACGAGCAGGGGTACAGAATATCTTCCAGGTTGAAGGTTAGGGATCCACTGGACAGTTGCTCTTGGGGGCTTTGCAGGGTGGGGAAAAAGGTAAAAGGAGCAGAGCCCAAATCCTCCCTCCAAAATCTATAAATTAGAGCTTAAAGTTCTTCTGCCAGTAACTAAGTCTTGGGGAAAGCATCCCTTTAGACTGAGGCAAAACTGCCCCAAAGTGAGGCAACCAGTGAATGATTGATGGTTGGTTGGTTGGTTGGTGGAAATGAGGTGGTGTTCTGTGGACCATGAAAGGGCCTCCAGGCATGAGAGTCTGTGCTTCTTTCAGTCTTTGGATGGTAGTAACGGTTGGTTGGCATCTTCATACCTGGATTTGATTCACTTATCACAATTGACATATACGAGCAAATCTCTTACTCAAAGCAAGCAAACCTCCCATGATAAGAGACTGAAAATTCTCAGTAGACAGAGCATTTTACTTATAAAGATTAGCTGCAAACTTTTAGGACTCCCTCTCTGTACCCCAAGTTTTAAAACAACTCTGTAAATTCGGTCAAGTAATACGAACAATAACGATAAAAAGTAGGCGAAAGGATCTTTTCTGTGCCAGCAGTTCTTGTGCCTCTATTAACCTCAAATTCACTCTATAGAAACTTTCAAGAGGCTCCTTCCAAGATTCCAGCATTTCTGTAAAAACAATCACGCAGCGCTATTATTTTTTTCCACCAGAAAAGTTTATCTCCAGGTTTTCGCCGTTCTTCTCCGTCAGCTCTTTCGGGAACTACAGATCCCATGATCCCTTCCGTAGGTTTCATTCTCTCTTTGAGGTAGGAAGGAAAAAAATCTGGCCCATTTCCAGACAGAATGTTTCTTTTCCTCCGCGTTGGACGGAGGGTGCAAAGAAAATCCCGAGGAACCCAACGCTGAGGCGGGCGGGCGGGAAAGGAAAGAGCGAGAGAAAGGCAGGTTTAGGGGCGAGGAAAGGCGCGGACCGACTGGCCGGCGCACAGACCGAGGCGCAAGACCCCGGCGTCGTGGGGCTCGAGCGCGAGCGCCTCCGGCGCGCCCCCTCGCCAATGGCTGGGCCGAGGAGCACCGTCCCCGCCTCCCTGCAGATTCCTCGCGGGCGTCCGCCCCAACTCGCGCCGCGGTCCCCGGCGAGGTCTCGCTCCCCGTCAAGGCGGCACCAAGGAGCGAGCGAGCGAGCGAGCGAGGGCGCGCGCGCGCGCACTCCTTGCCGGGTCCTCCCACCGTCCCGCTGCACCAGGAAGGGGGAAAAGCGCAGGCAGGCATCAAGTGGCATCGGGCGGCGGAGCGGGGCTGTGCGCTCCCCTCCCGGGGAAGAGGCCCGTGCTCCGGACGCCGCCGAAGCAGAGGGCTGCGCGCCTGGGGCCGCGGAAAGTTGCGACGGCCCGCGCCAGGGAGCAGAGGCGCGATGTGAGGGAGGGGAGGCGCTGCTCCGCCCGGTCCGAGCCAGGCTGCCTCTGCCTGCGGGGCGCGCGAGCGCGAGCGCGCGGCCGCCCCTCGAACACGCACACACCCGCGTCGTCCCTCCCTTTCTCCCTTTCCCGGTCGTCTCCTCCCTCTCCTCTTCCCCCTCCTTTTTTCCCTTGCCTTTTCCTAGAGTAGCCGCTGAAGGAGGCGAGCGGGCAAGCCAGCCAGCAAAAGGCGAGCAAGCCGACGGGGCTGCCCTGTTGTGTTTCTGGGTTGTCTCCTCGGCCCAGCCGCGCCACAGTCGCCGAAGGAAGGACTCCCCCCGCCCTTGCAGCCATGAGCGGCGGGGAGGTGGTCTGCTCGGGCTGGCTCCGAAAGTCGCCTCCGGAGAAGAAGTTGAAACGCTACGTAAGTGTCTCCCCGCACACACACTCCTCCGGCTCGGCTTGCAGCAGCTTTCCGTGGCTCCTGTGCGGTTCGTTCTCATTCCGTCCTTCATCCCCCCTCCTTTTTGCTTTCTCTCCCCCACCCACCGCTCTTATTTTTAAAGTCCCAAGTTTAGCCCCCCTCCCCCCGGGCGGTGAAGCTCCTCACGGCTGTCCCCTTCTCCCGAAGGTGTTTGGGAATCACCGAGCCCGAAACTCTTCCAAGTACTTACTTTCCAAAACTGCCAAGTGCGCAGTTCTGGATTTTTTAAAAAATGCTTTCTCTTTTTTTAGCAGTGTTTTGCAAAAGGCCCAGAGCGGCGCAACTTTTTATCTCCTTGTTTATTGCCTTTTGCGGAGGGAGGGGTGGGGAGCGAGCGAAGTTTTCCATTAGTTTCTTCCAGGACACGCAGATTTTTATTTTTTATTTTTTAAAAAACAAAGCTTTTCTCAAAATCACTCAGCACTTTCCCATTTAATGTATTGAATTTGATAGCACCGTGGCCACTGTTCCCACACTGTTCTTGCCCCAACGCACAGACACATCTCGAGATGGAATCCAGGGTCATCTTTGATGTAATGTTCTAAGGCACATTCATTCATTGTATCTAAAAATTGTCTCTTTGTTGCAACGTGATGTAGAAACATAAACATAGTTCAAATTACTGAGCCTGAAACAGCTTTCCTTCTGTCTCCATGTTTTGTTTTTTTTAATCCATCTTAAAATAATCTTTGAAGCTTTTGGTCAGGGGTTGCTGGCATGTCTGCAGTACGTTTTAGGGGCCAGTGTTCCTACCTGCAATGATTTTGCAGGTGAATCTGTGAGTCTTAAATATATTAATTTATTAGACTCTACTCCTTTTTGAACACTATCCCTAAAGGGTCAGCCCAAATGTGATGTTTTTCAGCTCTCACCTTTCCTCTAGAGGTATATTAAAACCTACTTTGCAAAACGTTTTGATGTTAAGCACTAGAAGACTGGAGTCTGTTTCTTTTGTACTGGTTCAGCTTATCCCAAGACATTCCCAGTGACTTAGAAAAGTGAAACATTCCTTCCAACATCAGTATTACCCATGCATTGATACCTTACAGCCCTATCCATCTAGCTTGTCCTGTGTGTGGAACAGGGAGACATTTCTGAAAAAGCCCACTTGGAGGCCCTAGACCTCAACATCCTATGGCGCGACTTACATTTCCATTTCAGGAATGTATTTTCTGTTGTCAGTGGTGCCAACACATACTACCACCACCATGCACTGCCTGAAATTGGACAGCAGATAGGTTGGGATTCATTGTTAGATCTTTGACAAGGATTTGTGATCCCAGTTTCCCAACAATAGCAGCAACAAAATGACTTGCCTGCCACCCTCATTATACTGCTGAATGAAAGCTAGGCCTAAGCAGAAATGGATTTTTGTGTTGAAAAATAATGTAAGTTATGTATGCTTCTGAACTTAGGAATTTGTTTCCAGTACCTGAATTCTGAATTTGTTTTATATTGGTATTTTCTTGTTGCTGGTTTTAATAAGCACTGTTTTTGGCAAAAAAGTGGAAGATTAATAAATCTAGTGTATCTTGTGCATCAGGCTGTAGCTGGGTGATTCTGTAAACTCAACGTTAGTCCCCCACTGGTTTAAAAACGTGTGAGAGGTGCTTAGCACTGCCATTGTTCATTTCTCTCTTTTCCTAATAATCCAATATCCCATTATTGGCACCAAACCCAACCCTCCTCTTTATGCAGGGGGATATCAGTTTGTAGCTGGAATAAATCATTTAAGGGGTTGATTTTGTCTTTCTCAACATGTCCCAGGACTATTGTTTTATGCACCAGCAGAGCAGAAAGGTCTTTTATCATGCCCCTAGTGTTCTACATATCTCTCTATTTCTCAGATTGCCCATTGTTAGCCTAAGGTGGGGGGAACGATCCCCCAAGAGCACTCTGTAGTGAGTACACTACAAACTTCTGCCCAACTGAAGTGCCAGATGCAGGGATGTACCCACAAACTGCTGGCTTTCTAGCTTTCTAGCTGGGAAGAAGGACCCAATTTTAAAAAGAGGTATGTGTTGAACTTGAACCCCAACACTGTTTGACACAGACAGCTGACTCAGCTGCTATAAAATAAACACCTTAGCATGTGTGAACAAGACCAGATCAAGAGATGATTAAAGGTCATGTGAGTTCTTACGGAGCATAAAAATCTGACCCACTTTAAGTTTTGCTAAATCTACACTTTTGTTTTTAAGCCTTCAGTGTCCTTTAGGACTCCCAGGCACCAAAGCTAAAATTTGCTATGGTGCACAGTTAAATCATCCTTTTTTTCCCTTTTGCTGTAAACAAATGCAGTGCACACTCTCACTACCAAGAGAAAGGGTAGGCGACCTGGTGCACTCAAAAGTTTTGGACTACATTGTTCGTATGTCCCAATTAACACAGCCAGTGTCTGGGGATTATGGGTGTGAGAACCCAGAACAGCTAGACGATGTCCAGTTCTTACTCCTGGCAAAGAGAAAAGGGCCTCTGGTGACTGCCTTAATGTTGAGCAGGTTCATGTTGGAGTAGGCAGCCTTTTCACGTATTAAGGAAGTAATCATGGCCTGCCATGATCTTTGCCTGGGATATGTAATTTTGGTTTGTTTGTTTGGCTTCACATTGGTGTTTATCTCTGTTTCTGCATTTTTGTTTTTAGCATTACAGCATATATGTAAATGAATGCAATGTGCCTTGTGAGTTTTATGTCTGATTATTTTGAAAACTCAGGTTTATCTGATGCATGCAATTTCTTCCCTTTTCTAAACATAAGGAAATTCTAATTTTTGCAATAGGATTTTTTATTCCCTACCACTGATATTTGAGAGGTACTCTTCTCTCTCTGTCTCTGTCTCTCTCTCTCTCTCTCTCACTCACTGGCTGTATGCAGGGAAAGAAGCTTTGCCCTTGGGATAGAAATGTTTAGATTACAAATTACAGTGGGGGGAAAACTAGAGACAAGAAAATGTTTTTCTTTTTATAGCACCCTACCGTTTCTCCTGTGTAAATATTTTAATAGGCTACAGTAGATCTGACATTTTAACTTACATGAAACTGTTTCTTGTTTGCTGAGAGGGCAGATTTCTTAACATGGGAATAGCAATGCTTGTTGTGTTGTAGCAGCTTCTCAGCCGTTTCTGAGGCACTGTCTAGTCAAATTGGAATGATGAGATGTTGCAAAAAGTGTTCCATCAGTATGCTCTTTATGCCAGTGGACTAGATGATGTCTGTATTTGTTAATAGAAGATGTAGGCTTCTGTGAATTGTTGCTTATGTGGAAATAAGGACCTAGGGCACATACACTTTGGTCACTTCATAATCCATGATTGGCAGATGAAAGTGTGAACTGAGTCCACTAGAAAGCATTACATTGGAAATGGAATTAAAATTCAGTTTATGTTGCTTTATCTGTGATGACTCTTCATGCATGTAAGTCATCATGCAAAACTGTATATGAGAAGCATCCCAACTGTCCCATTTCAAAGTAAGGGACGGTTACTAAAGAAATTTGGAATGCTAACTTTGGGCAAAATACAACATAATTCTTACTTTGAGTAGAACATTGAAGTTAATGGAATTTAAGCAAGAAAGCAATCTTATGGGCCCTGAAAAACATCCCAAGGACCACAGGATTTTTGGGATTTCACATCGAAGGCTAGAGACAGTGCTGTCTCTGCAGAAATGAACCACAAAATCAGATTCCCTCCCCTTGCCTCTTGGAAAGAACTGTAGGTTCTGTTCTCTGAGATTGTAAAAGTGGCCTTGGAGGACGATGTAGAAGTTGGAAAGGGAAAGGGAAAGAGAGGATAGGTTGCAATGAATTGGATGGCCTCTTCAGGCTCAGCTGCAAGCCACCTTTGGGCAGACTCAGGGCTCATCTGGAGGAAAACAGGAGGACAGAGAGGTGCATATCATTTCTGTTGCTCCTTATGCCCTGCTGGCACCAGCTCAGCTGGGTGTTGTATATTCAGAAACCTGCAGATTTGGAGGTTTCCATCTAACATGGGTGGAGCTCACTGGATTGTGCACTGTGTTGTGTCTGTGTTAAGTTGGATTTACATTGGATTTTATTCATTAGCTTCTATGTATTGCTATCTGTAGAATAACCTTGCAGCAAAGAATAAGGTTATTCACAGCAGTTGTTTATCCGTGTAGCAGGGTGGATAAAAATCAATTATTTTTTAAATAAAAAAATCAGATTTTTAAATTTTAATTTTGATTTAAACTGCTTTTTGAGGAAAATCTATCTAAAGACAGTTGTCTGTTTGATACTTTATAGTCTAAAGGTTATTCATCATGAAATAAGGATTAGATTTTAATTATGTGTCATGAGGCTATATATTCCTGCAATGTTCAAATTTTTTGATAAATGAATTCCATTAATCATTCACAATATCATGCTCTTCTAGAGGTTTCTGTAAGATTATTGAACAATTTTTCTATTCAGAAGATATCATCACAGATGCTTGGTTTTACCCTTCTCAAAACTGAATTCATGTCTACAGAGATAACATGCCCCTTCTTCACAGCAAAACATGTTATAAAATAAACAGAGTTGAGAAAAAGCCCTTAATCCCATTTGCAGATCTATGTGCACAGAACATTACCTCTTCAGTGCTAAGTTTCAAAGAATCCAATGAATAGAAGATTGGTTGGAGTGGAATAGATCTGCACAAGAAGCTAGGTGTGAGGAGGGAGGGGCAAGCAGTAAAAATGAAAGTGAAAGCTTTTGAGCAGAATACTCCTCAGGTCTCTGGATCTTCTTGTGCACAGCCTGAAATTTATTGTGCTATTCTTTCCCTGGAGGAGAAAACCTATAATGGCAGCAGGTGGTAAGAGAGACTGAAGTTATCCTACATACCGGTAAGGCAGGATTACATAGAAAACCATGATTTAAATCTTGTCTTATTGACTAGTGGTTTAAAATGATTTAATTTAAATCAAATCCACCCTGC